CCCTCAATATATCTTGTTTCCAAATAAACTTTGAAAAGTGATGACAATACTTATCATCGTCAATGCATGCAGCTTGTCCTGTTATGGACTTTGAATTGTCATCCTAGACAAGCTTTCATTTTCTGGGGGAAAAAGTTCAATTGAACTCTAGGGGCACTCTTACCAAATCAAGAATGCCTGTCTCTAAAGCTGCAGAAATTCTTGCCCTGGAACTTGAATGGAACTTAGGTGTCTAAATATTGAATGGCATGGCAACACCGAAAATTAGATTAATAATTTAAAATATGATATGATATATAAATAATACGAATAAAAAATATAAAAATAATATAATTTAAAATTTTATTAAAAATTATAAATAAATTTAATAAAATTAAAATTTTATATTTTATATTTTTATTAAAATAAAACATAACATATAATTTTTATATAAAATATAATATAAATATATAAATTATTAATATTTTATGTAATATAAATATACAAATTATAAAAAATATTGATAACCCTACAACAAAGTGATCTTTGATTAGGACAAGTCTCCGACACCACGTGGATAATTCATGGTTAATTGGTCACCTTTGGCTAGCTTTAAGACATTGAAAAAGGATTTCAATTTACGAGGATTGAGCATTGACGTCTTCCGTGGGCTTTGAGCAAAATGATTGGATGGTATTTGTATAGAAAGGGTAAACAAAATGATTGGATATGAATGCTGATTGATGAACAGACTCACTGAAATTTTAATGATGAATTAAGTTAGTAATTTAGATGTCCTTTAATTCTGTCCCAGTTTTGAATAATGACTGTCCAAAGTTTTGGATGGATTTTCTAAAGTGTGAGCCAAGTTTAGTTACCAAAGACCTAATCAAACCAAATTAAGGTCCAACTTGGAACAAAGTCCACCCTTTTGGTCTCTTTAAAGCCTTTAGGAAAGGAAAACTCAGCGTTTGGTTGGCACACAAAAGAGAATAAAAAGTCAACATCATCTTGGTTGATCATTTGTATGCAGCCCATGTGTTTAAGTGACAGCCAAACCATTTCTTGACATGGACTGTTCATTTGTCATTACTTTTCTACTTTATAGAATCTATATGTATATGGCTGATTTAGCTAGTCTTCCTAGCCAAAAGGAGAATGAGAGCTCAAATCTTTATTTTTGCCAAATGACTTGTCAAATTGTTTTGTCCAGCTCCCTTTTAACATTACACTGAATCTGTTTGAAGGAAATATAAAGTCAAGTAGACAATGTTCTTCTTTTAGGGCAAAGGGTTATATTTTATGAAGTTGATAATCACTAGCATTGACCCCTCCTCCTAATCATTATCAGTTCCCTCACATTGTCATAAACTAGAAATGGTCCCTAAATTTTTGGGTCTGATGAGAAACCAGGAAGCATATGGATGTCATTAACACTCCAAGACGCTGAATTGGACAACAATATTAGTGCATTTGTATGGATTGAATCTGTACATTTTAAACTAGAAAAGATGGAAAGGGAAAGAAAGAATCCTAATGTATTTCACAGGCTACCAGCCTGCAACTATAAACTGGATAAAAGGGCAGCTTTCAGCCGGTTATTAACTATATATTATCATTTTAATTTTGAGGTAATCATAGGGTACAAGCCTAAAACTCAGGACCAGGTTTAATTTAGAAGCTTTTTATGTAGAGTTGGAAGACAGTTTTTCTGAATTCTGATAAATAAATGAATTCCTCTTTTACTCTTTCCATCTGCAGGAGTCTTTGGCATACCTTTGCATCATTTCAGAAGTGAATAGAAAAACTATGAAAAGGAAGTAAGGAACATTAAGGCACAAAATATACTGCAGAAGACATCTTCTCAAGCAAAGGCTCGGCTTTTAACAATCTCAGCCCATTGAAAAAGCAGATTTTTAGGGAATCTGACTCAGGGTGTTATCGAATTAAATTGACATATAGAATAGTTTGAGGTTGAATTTAATTTTAAATTTATTATTTAAAATTTAATTTAAATTTGATTGAATTATAGTTTTTAAATTCAAATTTGACCTGAGATAAAAATTAAATTATTTAAATTTATTTGATTAGGTTCATTTAATAAAAATAAATTCGATTTTCATATTTAATTTCAAACTTAATTATGTATTTGAATTTAAATTTAATTTTAAATTAATATATATAAATAAAATAATAAATTTTTAATTAAAAAATAAAAATAATTTAACATTTAAAAATTTAATTAAATTAATAATCTACTTGAATCAAACATTAATATATTTAAACTCAACTAATTTGATAAATTAAATTACTTTATCTCAATTTGATATCAAATTTAATCTTAATAAAATTTAAATAATTTATAAATATTATTTATACCCTGAAAGATAAGGGCATATGCTGAAATTGACCATGCAAAAGAGCCCTACTTATAAGATTTATCACATTCTTTTCTTGCTAAAGTCATCCACCCCTTTTTCCTTCCTGCTTTTACATATTTTTTTTATAAAAAATTTGCTGTCAGTAATTCTAAGATCAGTTGTATCATTGGGTGAAAACGACTGGAAAGGTCAAAACGAAAAGGCATAAAAGAAAAAGGTCTCTTGATAACTTGTAAATACATCAAACCTGGAAGCTACAATTATGCCGTGGCAATATCACTTCTTTCGATCACGTGCTAATCAAGTGGATGCATACAGCAAGATCAAGCGGCAGACGGTGCTGACACATCCACCGATCTATCTACCATATTATCCACCGTACACGTGTGTTTCATCAATAATCACCTATAGCTCACCGCACCCTACCATTGCTTCGGTCAACGGCGCTCCTCCATCGTTTAGCCAAGTAAAAGGTTACTCCGGTAATTTTACACTGTCTGACTAAGCTTAAAAAATGTCAAATTATGATTTACTTTGTAGTAATTAAATATTACTTAATCCTTCTCCCAGTTGTCCTCATAAAATTAAATATTATTATTTTTTCCATTTTTATATTTGTGTAACCATCCTTTTTCCTACAGGATGGGCGAGCAATTATTTGCTGGTTTTACTAACTTAGAATTTTATAAAAAATTTCTAATAATTTCATTTGATCATATAGCATAATTATGAGAATTATTATCCTTTTATAACTCCAAAACTGAAGTTCATTTAAAAAGAAAATCATAGTTACTTACCTATTTTATTTTGTCTTGAAAGAAACACCTTTAAAGTTTAAGATTTCATTTTATATGTCTTAAATTTTTTAATTTTGAGATGAGTAACATGAGATTTATAAAATGATGGAGAATTTTTTTTTTTTCATTTTGTAATCTAATATCACATGTGTCCTATTAATTGGTTCAATTATGATTTTTGTAAAAGATAAATTATTTAAAATTTAGAATTTAATTTAATTGATTTATATATATTTTTAAAAGATAACATTTAACAAGATAAAACTTATATTAAAATTTTTAAGTGAAAGTTTTTAAAATAAATAATTTAATAAAAATTTTAACGAAAAATCTAAATTGATATATTGTTAAGATTTAATGTAAAAATCAATAATATGTAAACAACTTTATCAAAAATGTTGTTTATAATTCAAATTTGATTGAAACGTATTTAATTATAAAATATTTTATCAAAATTTTTATTAAAAATATCAATATAAAAATATATAAAAGATTATTAATTTTTTTAAAATTTCACACGATTAATCTATATAATAAGACATTTCAATCTATCTTTTTTTATTTTTATTTTTATATTTAATTTAATTAATTTTAGTATAAATTTTCACAAAATTTACCTCAATAACTTTATTTAAGTTTTTCCTCCATTTCTAAATTCCAATTCTTTATTAAAAAAAAAAAACACAAAATTTAAAGTGTAATTAACTCAATATATATATATATATTTTTTAACATATTTTCAACGTTTATATTTGTTTCGATTTTTTTCTTGTTCTCATTAGGCAATGACCTCAACATAGACCAATTATTGCTAAATAGAAAAATATAGAAATGGAAAACAAAGATTTCCATTTTGAGAAATGTTTCCATAATTTGGTATTCCTCAATCCTAACTCATCTATCAATGTCATAACATCTCATTGACTTCAAATAAAACAATAATTTTACCATTTTAAAAAATATAAATTAATGAAAGTTATAATGTTTTTATTCATTGCATGAATTAAAATAATTGCAAAATAGTTCTCTTTCTTTGACATCTTAAAAAAAAAAAAGGCACAATAAAAACTAATCTCCCACTAATATGTCTATAATAAACCTTTTAAACTTGTCCCATGTATAAAAGTGAAAGAATATGTTGGGATTTTAATATATGTAAAGGTATTATAATAAATATAAGTTTGCCATGTTATATTATAACTTATTAATCATTAGATAATAAGATAGATAAATTGTAATACGATGATAATTTTATAATAAAAAATGATTTTAATAATTCAATGAAGTATTTTCATGAACATTATTATAATTGTTATTAATTTTAATTTCATATTTTGTAAAAACAAAAAAAAATAGTTGTGTGATTAATGAGTTTAATCTATAATTAAACTAAAAAATTTAATTGATTTATTTTTATTTAAATTATTTAAGTTAAATTCGATAAAATTATAAATATTAAATATTTATCTTATCATTTATTTATTTATATGTTAAAAATAAATATTTAATTAGACTTAACTTTTTAAATATAAATATTTAAATATTTATATTCTATTAATAATTCGAAAATTTTGATTCTATATCGAACGGATGAAATTCGAGTAACTGGATTTGTTTAGGCATCATAACTGTCCCGATTTGGGTCTCCATCAGATGTCGCTACGGCGTAAAGTACTGAATCAAAGCCCAGTCAAAAATTATAGTTAAACTGATCCACAAAGATCAAGGGTATTTCCGTACTTTCGTACTAACCTCGCGACGAGGTCGCGAAGTTGCGGAGGCCATAATTATTTATTAACGTTCATATTTCCATTTAATTTTAATACAAAAAATGTAAAAAAAAAATAGCACGTAAAAACAAAAATTACTCTGTTTATCTATGAACAACAAAGAAAACGCTACAGCCGAAAACGATTATCAGACATTGCTAAAACAAACAAAAGGAAGGGGAAAAAAGCATATTTTTTCCTTTGTTTTTCAGTTCTGTAGTCCTCCTCCCAGGTAATAATTTTCTCTCTCTAGGTTCTCTCTCTTGTTTTAATGTTATGATATTTGAAAGCTTTTTTTTTTTTTTTATGGTTAGTTTTGATGAAAAACAGGGGTGTTTAGATGTTTATGGATGCTTTGAATTTGATAAATTTGTTGAATTTTCTTTTATTTTATGCTCAACGGATCCTGATTTGAATGGGAAAAATCCTGTGCTTTTTCTGAAAAAAATTTAAACTTTGAAAAAGCTAACGGTAATTTTTTTGGTTCTGGTTTTTCGTAAAATTTGGTAAATTTTGTCGACGTAAACTTTAGTATGTTTGTTTTTATAATCTGGGTTTTCTTCGTTTTCTTCAGTTTTGTATGGTAATACAGATCGGTGATGATAAATAATAGGTGGAAATGGTAGTTTTTTTTCCTTAAAGGATTTGTGTTTAATTTGCCTACCCCATTTGAGTAAAGCCAAAGGAAGAAACAAATGAATTGTAGAATCTTTGAATTTATTTTGATTTGATAATGGTTCTTTTTTTTTAATCAAAGAAGATTGGTATTTATTGGTTGAATAGGGATTAATGGTCGGGTGTTTTCTTTTTGTTTTTTGGTGGAAGAACAGATGGTAAGGGGAGGGAAGGTTGGTCGTAGAAGCAATTCTAAGAAAAGGGTTAGATCCAAAGATGAGTCTTCGGATGATTCTGATGAAGATTATGTAGTTTCAGAGGAGGGAAATGAAGAATCTGGGGATGATGCGGAAGATTATAGTTCTTCCTCAGATGACTGTCCACCGGAAGAGGGTTTTGGGAGTTTTTTCGATGATGAGGAAGAGGACAAGGAAGAGAAAGAGCTGAGAAAGGTTGTTAGGTCAAAAGCTAAACGGATGTCTTCAGCAGGGGAGAGGAAGACTGCGGATAGAAAATTGCGAAAGCGAAAAAGTGTATCAGATGAAGAAGAGGAAGATGAGGATTATGATGATGATGATGATGAGGAGGAGGAGGAGGTCGAGGAAGAAGATGATGATGATGATGATGAGGAATTCACTTTGGATGAAGAAGATTGTTTGGATGAGGAAGAGGAATTGACAATGAAAAAGAAGAAAATCGACATGAAAGTTGGTAAGCAAGGTTTGTGGAAAAGGGGTCCTTCTAAACATAGGAAAAGGAGGAAGGAGACTGCAGTTTCTAAGAAGCCTTTGAGAAAAGGAGGAAGGAAGAAACGCAGATTGAAAAGGAAAAGGAGAGTTGAAGAAGATGATGATGATTGTGATTTTATAGACAACACTCCAATTGTGAGAAAAAAGAGCAGAACAAATAAAGGACGGAGAAAGAAGGCATATGTTGTACCATCAGATTCAGATTTTGTGTTATTTGGATCTTCTGATTATGAGTATACCATCTCAGAGGAAGAGAGAGAGCAAGTGAAAGAAGCCAACCAATTGTGTGGAAGTTTAAAAACTAGGTTGAGGAGTTCATCAACCTCAAAGAGAATTCAAGAGGTTGAGGAGTTAGGTCAGCATAAGAAACCTCCAGGAAGAAAGGGTAAGGAGAAGGTAGAGGAAACAAATGCTGAACTAATAAAGCCGGTTTGTGGTATTTGTCTCTCTGAGGAAGATAAGCGAAGATTGAGGGGCACACTAAACTGTTGCAGTCATTATTTTTGTTTCACCTGCATTATGGAGTGGTCAAAAGTGGAATCTCGTTGCCCATTGTGCAAGCAAAGGTTTGAAACAATCAGTAAGCCTGCAAGATCAACAGCAGGAGTTGATTTGAGAGATGTGGTGATCCAAGTCCCCAAGCGTGATCAGGTTTGTTATATTTATCCTCATAATATTTTATGTTTAATGGTTTTCATTTTCCTTGCTTTATTTTGTATCTGTGGTTTGAAATGGGCATGTCTGTTGTATGCAGGTCTACCAACCATCTGAGGAAGAACTCAGAAGCTATCTTGATCCGTATGCGAATGTAATTTGTTCTGAATGCCACCAAGGTGGGGATGATGAACTCATGTTACTGTGTGATCTTTGTGATTCATCAGCACACACCTATTGTGTTGGTCTCAGGCAGGAAGTACCTGAAGGTAATTGGTACTGTGATGGTTGCAGGCCCGTTGCTCTTGGGTCCTCTAGTTCCCAAGTTCAAGATTCTTTGCCAGATCCAAGGGCAATAAACAATTTGTACAATAGATTGTCACCCAGCGTAAATGTAGGAGAAAGTTTAGACTCCATTGTAGTGCCTTCACCTCATACACCATTAACTCCCGGTTTTGTGGGTCTTTCATCTCCTAGATTTCCTGTTGTAGATATTCCAGCTGCTTCTCCAGCATCTGGAGTGGGCGTTCCAACTCTAACGGGAAGACGATGGTTACACCGCCAGATTCAGAATCTCCGTTCTGTTAATAGGATGAATCTTATGGCTGGTAGGACTAATGGGATATCAACTGGCAATATGGGCATTGATTTTGTAAATTCTTACATTGATCAGAGTAGGGAAACAACTGTTCAACGAGCTAGGACACAAGATATGGCAACTTCATATCAAACAGTCTTTGAGGAGAGGTTACAGGATGATCCCTCTTCGTCACTGCAAAGTAGGGATTTCTTTTCTTCAAGGTTGGGTCATTTGAGAAGGCAAGCAGTTCAGGCTTCAACCGCAACAACCTTCAGTACATCTGTCAATTTGACGTTATGGCCTGAACTTGTTGGTATCGGTTCAAATGAGCAACTCTGTCAGTGCAGCAATGGATCAAACATTGGGCCTGATGGTTGTGGCTTGCCTTTTTCTGTTATAGATGAGGGTAATGTTTTGATGGTGAAGGAACAATTGCAAACAATGGTTAGAAGCCATTTGAAAGCCTTGTCCAACAATAATGATTTTGGTGAGTAAAGCCCTGTCTTTAATCAACTCTGTGTAAGGGATATTTTGACGTTTAGACTTTTTAGTCTGCAGTTTTCACATTTCTAAAAGGCACAACTTCTATACATAAATGATTACCATGTTAAGTCTGTGTTTCAGTTTTGTTTTTTAATCACATTATTGTTTGTAAACAATATGTTGTAGTGATTAGTTCTGTCTTGTGTTTTTGGAACATATCTAAACTAATTATATATATTTATATAATATGCAGACAATGGTACTTGCAAGGACGTAGCAACAAGTTCCATGCACACCTTATTGGCTGCATGTGGGCTTGAGCACAGGAGGAGCGAGGTTCACGTTGTGCCTCCATCAAATTGTACACACATTGAAAGAGTAGCAGCTGGGCAGGCGAGCTTAATGAAAGGTTGTTGCTTAACTTGTTTCGATTCTTTTGTAAAAGATGTAGTGAAGAGGATCATGGATGCAAGATCCCGGCAGTGGTTAAGTTTAGGTCTTTAGATCTTTGATGCAGTGAATGTATCTTTCTGCATTTTGGTTAGGAGTTAGAAACAAATTTTTTTAGAAAAAAAAAAAAACGAAACATTTTTTAAGTTGATTTAGACTTAAAATTCACTGACATTGAGCACAAAAAGTGCAGTATTCTCATTTGATCACCATAATAGATTGCAAAAATTTTCTAGTCTGATTGCATGTAATGCTTATGTTATTCTTCCTGCTGTCTCATCCTTGCCTCTTCCTATGAAGAAAGAAAGTGTGAATGTCTTGTCCTCTTGATTATTTGTGCTATAAAGTATGACAGTAATGCTACGGGCATTAACCACTTAGGTTCAAAGGCATGGGAAGAGTACAACTCTGATGGACTATTTCCACACAGAGTTAACCAATTGCATTTGTTGTTCGGACATAAAAGGTTAGATGTTTGTGATTAACTATTTCCTTCTAACTCAAGAAAACTTGTAAACAACACCATTCTTGCAAATAATGTCACACAAATTAATATTAGATGTAATAAAATTATTACAGTACAATTAATCAATCGTATTTATCATTGGGATGATAGCTGTTTTATGCTACCTTTTTTGTCTTTGAATGATAATGGCCAACAACAGCATGGTAATGACGAGAGCATTTGTCACTAGATTAGATTAACCAACATGTTTCTTGCAAGCTAGAACAACTCAGCGCACTCATTAAATCATTTTTCTTCTTTTTGATATTATCATAAACTGAAATAAAAGGTGAAGCGGAAATCATGATCAGGCATAAAAACTAAAATTACAGTCATTCCTACACCTTATTTCAACATTTTGCTTAATACATCAACATATTCACTACAAACAGCGTAACAACCACAGGTTGTAGGGCTCTTCGCCATGAACCCAATGTCCATGAGGGATTAAGGTCCACAATTGCAGTGACCAAAAGGAGGGCAGAATGCTCTTCATCAAATGTCATCAAGAATCGTGGACAACAGCAGCCCTTTGACAAACTCACATCTTTTTGCCTTCTCTTTCTGATCCTTGACTGAAAGAGGAGATGACTGGACATTTCTGTCATCAAAGCCTAATATCAGAATGCATCATATCATATCTTTCAAAGACATTGTTGCAAAACTATAGAAATAAAACAAATAGGTAGGACAAACATGAAATCCCCATGCAGAAGTTTGTCCCGGAAGTAAAATTCAATGCTAGTCATCAATGGTTTCTTTTGAATAAGGTTGTAATGCAAAAAAGATGGTGCAAACTCTCTAAATAAATAAACAAAAACTGAGATGCGCCAAAAGAGTCTCATTCCTTTTCTCAAAGACTGGCATCAAGTCTCATCCCCACCAAATTACTAAGTCTAATTCATAAATACTACATATTTGTGTATATGGTAAGGAAGCTGGACACTTGATGCTAACCTAGACTTATATAGCTTAACCTAACTATTTTACTGCATAAACCAATTTGTGAAACTTTAAAAGAGAAAAAAAATGTCAGCAGATAAAGCCATGCACAGACATGGGTCCCTGACTAAAGATATAGATAGGAAGTCATTAGTCTGGACCAGGAGCACAGATATCACTCTGCTTAGTTTTGCTTTAACAAAATATAAGTTTTGGGGTTGAATCCCCAAGTGCATGATATAGTCCAAAACATGTTCTATTTCTAGGGTGGCAAAATGAATATAGGCATTTGTATATGATATTGTATAAAATAAAGTCATTGTATGCTAATAAGAGTAAAATGTTGAATTAGCCCCATCATCTCAAAGAATGGCTTAAAAGATGGCTTCTCAGTGAAAAACAAAAAGACAAACAGAAGCACATTTACATGCCCTTTTCACTTAGGGCTGAACTTTTTGAGACGTCTATACTCCATACCAAACAAGAAGGCTATGACAAGATCCATTAGGTTATCTAGGATTGCAAGTGAATAACCAGATAAAAGACCACACGCATTCAAAACACCTGCCTCAAGCAATAAGGGTACAAAAGTAACAATCAGATTTTAACACACCGCAACTTACCTTTCCGACTTATTCACATCTGAACTTTTCTTAGTTGTGCTTGTTTCGCTAGAAAAGTGAGGGTGAACACTAACATAATCATCAACCATGGGCAAAATAAATGAAGACAACAAAGGATCAGCTGCTGAATTGGATGAAGACACTATGCAAGAAGAACTCCCAAAGAGGGACTGTAGGTTTCCTTCTCGCAGCTCTCTCCTCAGAAGAGAAAGTGTTGAATGAGATCCACCTTTACGTGATTTCCTTTTGCGCTGCACGTAACAATTTGTTAAGGAAATGAAATTATATATAAGTCAAGTCCTTAGAATGATGCAACTGTCATACAAGGAAGCCCCACAAACAAAGCTAGCAATGCTTTTATTATTCCACTAAAGAGGGAGAGGAGAAGTGGGAACGGGGCATCTTTGCCAACTGACTAAATGTTTTTAATGGTCACAGCGGTCAAGACAAGGAACAAAGATGATAAAATTTGCGGGTAAAAAAGAGAACCAACAATCAAATTCTACGAATTTAGCAGGCTCCAATGATGATTTTCAAGGTACATGGAACATGAAAAGAAAGAGACTTAGTCTATACAGTTTAAAGAGGGATTCCCAAAGACAATCTATCATAAACAATAACCTCAATAGACAGAGGATATCTTGAATATATTTCCATGGTTGTTAGGGTTAAATGCGCAACCATAGTCAACTCACACCCTTGGTTGCAAGACCGGACTATACTGCAAACAAAAACAAACCATCACAAAACAGATGTTTAGATTCAATAAATCCTTTCCCCCATTACAATAAAAGGTCTCACGCACCATGCTGACTAGAACAACTGTAAACAAAGAACCTATAAACTACTTCCCAAGGACTTTACATATTACCGATCAACCTACTATATGGAACCAGTATTCAATACCATACTTGTAAGCAAAATCACACTAGAGCCAATTTTTCCAGTGAGCTGAACAACAGCTCATGGTCCAAAACTTATTCATTCAAATTTTCAATCTCATAAACAAACGTCATATTCTAACTATCAAAAGAATCATTTAAGTAAAAATAACAGCTAAATGTAACTTTTGAGGCGAAAGTTTAAAATTTGAAACTTGGGTCCATAACAAACAAGCCCCTTCTTAATTCCTTTTAACCGACTGATCAGAATTCAAGGCTTAATTCAGGCAAGTGAACTATGCTACTTTGAAAAATTCTTATTTACAAAGATAACGATCATGTAAAAAATTAACAATCCAAAATACTAATCTTGCTTATAATACATAACGATAAAAAGGGCATTGAAAAATAAATGAAAAGAGAGCAATACCCCATTTTTAGCCTCCACAGGATGCTCATCATCAATGTGACAGCACAAGCCGACGATATCGAAATACTCAGAACAAAAAGGGCATGGAAATTCCTCTCTTATATCATCTACTCCATCTATTTCTTCAAACCCCATAAACATATCTGCATTTTCAACCCATTTCCAAACATTAAATCATTTTTTTTTTAGAAAAAAGGCAAAACTTTTGTTAAAAATCTAATATTTTCTAAATCAATTAAGTCAAGTTACTTCATTTACCTTCATTGTCCACCACACAAAAAATATATATTTAACCCCCAAAAGAGTTTGAAAAAAAAGAAGGGATTTTAAAGCTTACCAGATCGTGATTGAAGAGCTGTTTGATATCTCTTAGAAGCTGAAGAAAGACGAGCACTCCATGAACCAGCATCCATTTCTAAATCAACCTCTTTCTCCAATTAATCTTCAACCCAAAGAAAAAAAAGAAAGATTTAATTCCTGGGGGTTACAGCTCGAAGCTTTTTTAGCACCGATCTTGGATTTGTGAAGTAAATTAGATTAATAAAAATCCAATAAAAAAGAAAGGAGAAGAGAGAAGGAAGCTTGCTAGGTCTGTGGGGTTTGATGAAAGCGAGAGAGATGGATAGAGCTGCTTGTGGTAGTTCCTCTTAATTGCGTGGAAGAAGGGAATTTTTTTAGCAACTCTTGGCCTTTTATATTGTTCTCTTTATCCTGTTACTGTCATAATGTGATTCGGATCGGGTCGGGTCGAGATGTCACTGTAGAGTAGGACCCTTCGCTATTAACTTAAGCCGACCTAATTGGAAACTAAGAGCCCAATAAAATTTAAAAAATCCTCCGTCCGCACCCAATCATTTTTTCATTTATACTTTTTTTGGGTTCCTTTTAAGAACGACCCTCAGCTTGTCGGCACGTGACTCCGTCGTTCGTTTCTGTTCAACTGCCAATCACCGACCTCCGGTCACGTGGCCACCCCTCAATTTTGCTTTTCTCTACCTCCACTATGAGAAAACCTCAAATCTTACATTTCTAAATTCTTAATCTGAATCTGAATTTAGATTTAGATTTAAATTTTAGGCAATATATATTTTTCGTTTTGGAGCTATGGCGACGAGGAAACGAACGCTGATATTCAAGAAATACAGGGATGCCTTGAAGAGTGTTAGAATTCCGGTGAGCTTGTCCGCAGCGACGAGCTCCGGTGGAGGACCTGTAATTGAGATGGTTAGTACTTCGTTGCTCCATCCAAACCGGTCTTATACTCCTCTACGTACCGAGGATCCTGGAAATTCAAGGTAATATTATATTTCCAACTATTATTATTGATCATTTTAATTTTTTCTATTAATTTGTTGAATCAAGGTCAAGAATTCAAGATCGAGATCGGAAATTATTTTTTTTAATTATGCTTGAATTTGTTTAGATGTGATTAGTTAGCTTAATTGAGGTGAATTATTTCTCCTTTTTTAATTTTGTTTTTCTAAAATTGCATTATAGAGGTTTAGGCTAATCAAAAGTTTAATAAAGTGTTAATTTGTTTGTACAAAGAGACTATCTTTTGAGGAATTGGCATCGAAGAGATCCGTACAAATGAATGTGGTTGAATTTGTTTGTTGATCAATGAATAATTCTTATGAGAATTATTTAGTTATGAGATATTAAAATGATTTTGAAAGAGCTATGGAGCTCAAGGGGAGGTTTATGCAGTACAGTGAAAGATCAAGGCTTTACAGTGAGGGAAATGTAGATATAATTACTATCGGGATTTCTTCTGAAGTTCATTTTCTCTTTCAACTAGTTGTGAGTTCATCTATTAAGTACTTTGTTTGAATGGTCATAAAATTATGTAGTGGGAAAATAAGGGATTGTCTGCCTGTTGCAGTACGGGTGCAATTACCGTCGGTCTACCACCAGCTTGGGTAGATGTATCTGAAGAAATAGCAGCAAACGTGCAACGTGCACGGACAAAAATGGCCGAGTTAGCCAAGGCTCATGCAAAGGCTTTAATGCCTTCATTTGGTGATGGTAAAGAAGATCATCAGAATATTGAGGCTCTTACTCATGAGATAACTAATCTGTTGAAGCAATCAGAGAAGAGATTACGGAAACTCTCTAAAGCTGGACCTTCTGAGGATTCAAATATCAGGAAAAATGTTCAGGTAAGGCTTAGTGGCCATCAAATTCACTTGTGTGGCTCTATGTCAAGGTCAGGAAATCCAATCATTTAGGCAAGATGGTCGCCTGTCACTTATTCATTTTGTATGTGGATGTGGATTCTATTATGTTGCTCAGTGATTTGTCTAATGGCCTAATTTTAGAAGTAGCATATTTTAGTTTCCAACTGTTAAGATAACATTCTTGGAGAGGATGAGACAAACATGAAACAGTGTCAAGTGCTCCCTCCCTCTCCCTCTCTCTCTCTCTCTCTCTCTCTCTCTCTCTCTCTCTCTCTCTACCATTTGTTGTCGAGGATAAAAGACTTCTACGCATAATTTATCTATTCTTGGCGTGTATGCTTTCTTTACTTCTTCCATTACTTGATTATGGAGAGATAAAAGGTCATTGATTTTTCTAGTCCATAAACCTGTCTCATTGCAGAGGGAAAGATAGTAATGCCTGACGTCTAGTACTTTATTCTTTTTGCCCTCTGACATTTTATTTCAGTTGTTATTCCCTCAAATGATTCTGAACTGTGCTTTTGTTTGCATTTCTTTCTTTTCATGTTTTTCACCTTTTTGGCAGCATTCACTTGCCACTGACCTCCAGAAACTTTCAGTGGAGCTCCGGAAGAAACAATCAACTTATTTGAAGCGCCTCAGGCAGCAAAAAGAGGTATAGAACGAAACTTTCTTTTTGACAATGCAACATTGTATCATATTTGGTTGCAGTTACACATGCTAAAGCCCAAATGGTCAAACAGATTCAATTTCAAACTTATTCCATTCATTTCTGTGTTTTGATGTTTTTGTTGTAACTAAATTATTGCTTGCTGTTTTAGGGTCAGGATGGAGTTGATCTAGAGATGAATCTAAATGGAAATAGATCAAAAGCAGAAGATGATGACTTGGGTGATATGGTATTGTGGTTTCTTTAAACCCTCTCCCGTTTAATATTTCCATCATATATGATCAAACTAAAGACATTTTAGTAAACATGAGTTTTAGGGTGCTGACCTCCCAATAGCATGTATTGAAGCTCAATTGCATGTTGGACATCAAGCTCCGAAATGTGCCTAACTTGACTTTCTTATCTCTCCTTTGATATTCGGCTTTGATAGTTTAGTGTCTTTTATTGATTCCAGTTTGGTGTTAGATGCTAATGTTTCACAATTGTGTCATTTAGGTATTCAATGAGCATCAAATGGCAAAGCTAAAGCAAAGTGAGGCATTCACAGTTGAGAGGGAAAGGGAGATCCAACAGGTAAGTGCATTACTCTTGATATTTTTCTTATCTGATTCTGCTCTCATAGCTATCCCTAACTAATTATTTATATATATTAAAATACTTTTTGTAGGTTGTGGAGTCAGTAAATGAGGTTGCTCAGATTATGAAGGATCTGTCAGTTCTTGTGATTGATCAGGTAGGAGTCCATCTAGCCTTGGGAATAAGTTACAAACTTTTCCGGAGTCATTAAATGCAGTTTTCTCCCTAAACAGGGCACTATTGTTGATCGGATAGACTACAACATTCAGAATGTTGCAACTACGGTGGAGGAAGGCCTCAAACAGCTACAGAAGGTTTTTCTGTCTTTTTCCATTAGTGATCTACATTTAGATGTTTTCTGGGACTCTGTCTAATTTTTGTATGGATTGGACATGCAGGCGGAGAGAACACAGAAACAAGGAGGGATGGTGATGTGTGCTTCAGTGCTTGTTATTATGTGCTTTGTCATGTTGGTCCTCCTAATCCTCAAAGAGATACTTTTTTGATCTGCAAGCATGGTTTTTTCCTGACCATTTCCATTTTGACCCGCGTTGTGGGCCCATTACTTGACATGTCGAGAGTCAACAATTTCCTCGGCCAGCATAAGAATGTGGGAATTTTGAATTTCCCCATATTACACATACCACTTTAAATATTCATGTTTACTTGTTTTCTTTCTCTTCGTTTTTCTCTTCTTGTCCCTTTTTGTTAAGGGTTTGGCAGAAAAAGAGGGGGAAAGGTGTTGTTAATCCAGGGTTTCGAATGCCCCAGGAATCTGTATAGAGCTTATAATGTTTTTTTTTTTCCCTTCAGCAAGGAGCTGTATTGATTCGTTTGTATTCCTTGGGGGATATCTAGCTGGTTCCCATACGAGGAGATGAGGCACTGCCTATTTACTTGTATCAATTCTTTTGATTTGAAAAAAAAAATTGACATAAATTCACATTGTTATAATATATGAGACTCTGACATTCTACGGAATTTCCCCCTTGAATTTGTCATGAGAAGATTGCCTTGATAATTGAGCGTAAAAGGCTGAATTCTCCTTTAACGGGACTGTGTGAAGTTGTAAGTTTTTTTTTTCTCATATTTAATTTTGGAAACTCACCACTGCTGCTTTCGTAGCTCAGTTGGTTAGAGCACCCGTTTAGTAAGCGGGAGGTCTTGAGTTCAACTCTCAATGAAAGCATTGTTGTATTTTTCCCCTGAAAACAGAAAACTCGTACATTTTGTTGGAGCTTCCAGGAGAAATGGCAACAACTTAAGCCAATTCCTTTACAATAAGTAGGAATCCTTCTTGTTTCGCATTTCCAGAATCTATCAGAGTTAACCATACCTGCAGAGCAGAATTAGCCCTATATCGTCCTCTTGTTTTATCATCATCATGGAGATTTCAATGACAAAGGGTGTCATTCTGTGGAATACTAAGGCAATATTCTCTTGCAGCATTGTACAATACTTTCTAGTGAACAGAACAAATCAAACCTTTCTATGGTGCTAGCTGTTCAAATAATAGAAGCTAAAGTCATGGGAAAAAACATATATCCTTACACCACTGAAGTATATGTCGGCCTGAAATGGTTGAAAATTTCCAAAAAAATTAAAAAATGTGGATACATGAGCTAATATGGTGATTGAATGAAAAGTGCAGCTTAGCATTTTGTTGTTAAGAATGGATTAAGGATTACAATAAATAATTAAGGAAATAAGAACAACTTGAAACTAGCCTGAGTTCTTTTTCCTTTTGTTGTTGATATATTGGAAGACTGTGGGAGATCTTCTCACAAGGTTAGGGAGTGAGAGTTTTAAGTCGAATGTCAACATCTGTAGAATCATGGCTAAGGTTCTTACATCAGACATGGCTCTATGATCTGAACCAGCCACAGGAATTCCGTAGTGCTCGCTAAGGGCTTGTAAGGATGTTCCAGAGGGGAGGTTGGATCCTGTGGATAAATATAAATTCGATGTCAAGCCTTTTACATACAACTAAACCATGTCAACAACAGAGATTAGTTCCTCCATCCTTCAAAAGGTCCATATAGTAATCTATAAGCACAAACTGCAACAAATCACCCATTAAACTGAATTTCTCATTTTGACTTCATAAATGGTGGAAGAAACCAAAGAAAATAAAGAGCAATTAAGAAATATTGTACCTTGGAACATCAGGTCTACAAACCACGTTGGTTGTGATTCCAGGGATATGTGAATTTGCTACATACTGTCCAGGATTAACCAATGTCTGAAATGTACCGTTTTGACCTCCAGACAGATCTTGAAGAGCTATCCCAATGATTCTATCATCTTTTCTGCTAAGACCTGAAGTCTCAGTATCGTAAATGATAAATGTCACAAGGTCAACTAAGCATTTTTTCTTTGGAATCATCTGTTGAATTCCACAGTACTGAAGCTGTTGATTTTCACTTATTTCTGTTTTGTTTAAATTCAAAGTAAACTTGAATAATCCATCCACAAAGAGATTTAATAACTTCATGAATGTAGTCCACAGTGGCGATTATTATCCCATTCTTGCACAAGATAAATTGCCTTGAACTACGACTCCAAATTAAAGATTCCTATTAATCAAACTAAGACCAAAATATGATTCTGACCAGATCAGATAAACTAAAAGCAAAGTAAACTTGAATAAAGGAGATGAAGAGAAACCTTCAAAAATCCCATCTTCAAACTAGTTTCTATGGGGAAGTTTACCAATCTCACATCATTGAAAACTGTTGAACAAGCCATCAAGGAGTGAACTTTAATCCTAATTTTATACCAACTAATCACTATAAACTTAAGAACTACACCTTTTAAGCCAACTTTTACACCAAAAACTGAACCAAAATGACGAAAAATCAGAGAAAGTTCGTTTATTTGACATCAATATTACAATTAAAGAAAAAGAGGGAAGATGAAGCTCTTTGATAGCTAAAAGAAAAAAGAATCACACTTTAATGGATTCACAAAAAGCAATTTAATGCTCCATTTGGTTTCAATGTTCAAATAAAGAGAAAGAAACCCAAAACAAAAGTTAAAATTTGAAGTCAAAATCTTTAAGATTTTGCTCCTTTGTTATCCATTCAGAAGTAGGTTTTAAATCAAAACAATTTTTTTACCAAGTTCAATTGTGCTTTCTTTTACTTTCTCTTTTCATTTTCAAATCATTAAATGAACATAAACTTATTAATATGAAAAACTTTCTCTAATTTTCTTTGAGTTTCCCAGCTACCAAACATATGAGAGGGAGAGAGCGACGTGACTTATTTTAGCAGTGATTCGAAACGTGCAGAAAAGCCCATTACGTGTTTGTGAAAAGGTTCAACTACAATTAACCAGAACCACCCCCAGACTCATCAAGTTGCCTTGTGTTGTGTCCAATTAACAAAGGCCTCAAACACTTGTCTCAGCTGAGTCGTCCATTTGCAGGGTGAGTTGACCAGCCCAAGCCAATTCTCCCCCCTTCTAACCCAAGAAAATACCTTAAAACAGAAACCATTCCCAAAGTGAAGACAATTATTAACACTAGTACTATAAACAATCCAAAATTTTTACAATCCATTTGCTTGAATAATCATTCATAACCAAATACAGTTAAATTGCTTGGATAAGATATCGTAGTACGAATGAAATGACTGCAATGCCCACTTAAAAGATAAAAATTTCATTTGTTCATTGATTCCGAAGCTGCTAACTATTTACATTACGATTGAGCCATGATCAATCCATCCACAAAAACATTACTTTCCTCTGCTTCTCTCTCCTTTTTTTATTCTTTCTTCCCCTCAATTCTCCAAAGGAAAAAAAGAACAAAACAGCAGTCAAGAACTAGGGTATTTTCATTTCGCTAAAAAGAAACAAAAGGCAAAACTAGAAAAAAAAAAAAAAAAGCTGTGTTGGTTAGGGTTTTTTTGTAACCCCCACTTTTGGTTTCTTGCCTGTGTCTCATATCAAGCAAAAACTGAGCCACAGGACAATGCCATCAAAGAAAAAGCAGCTTGTTCTTCCTCTCCCAACTTCCTTCTCCTTTGGCACCTTTGCTTCTTCACCACCCCAGATAATGATAATGAAGAATTTGTTGTTGTTGATGATGATCTTTGCAGCAAAACCTCACTTCCCAAAGCAAATAATCTCATCTCCGTAGTCTCACTCAACCCATTAAATTTGCCACTGGGCTTCTTACTTTCACCAACATTATCAGTTGTAGCAATAGAAGCAGAGCTGGTTGTAATTGTGCTGTGTGATGATTGTGATCTCTCTTTCTTCTTCTTCTCTGATCCTCTCTTCAAACCCAACATTGCTTTTGTTTTTTTCCTGTATCTGATCCCACATGCATTGCACAGTGACTGAAATGACCAAAAAACCCCAACAATCATAAGCCAGGATCAATTAAATTAATTGGCAAATAAGTGAAACACAAGACATGAAACCTAGATGAAAATGCTTTAAGCAAATTAAATTAATAGGCTGGTGATGATTAATTGATTATTAACCAAAATACAAAAGAGTACTTTGAGTCTTTAAGCAACCAAATGGGACAAAGACTCATCAATTAAAACAAAGAAACAAAGTTATGTAGGAAAAAGTTGTAAGCTTTAGCAGAGAACTGATTGTAGTTGATTTTAAAAGAAAAGCAATAGACTGAAGCTTATAAAAGAGAAGCTTTTTTATGGAAATGGAAAGTAAAAATAATACCTTGGGGCCAGCAGGACCACCTCTCCAAAGAGGTGTCTTTGTGGTCTTGCAATCAGTACAAGACTTCTTGTTATTCCCACTCATCATATCTTCACCCAATGATTTCTGAATCATAAACAGCGATCAAGTAAGTATTAAAAAAAAAAAAAAAAACAATGGGTTGGGAGAAAAGTTTGAATTAAAGGTGATTTTTTTACCAACCTTTCCTCTCAGATCCATTACACCCATGAAGCAACTCTTTGAAAATCTTTGATTAAAACAGAATGGCAAAGGAAAACAGAAGGCTACTCGAGCTTGAAGGACAAAGATATAACAAATTTGTAACTATCAGAAACCTTTATCATTTCATTGAAAATAAGAAAAGAGGAAAGGAGAGAACTTTTTCTCTCAAAGAACAAAACCCAGAAACCCAAAAGAAAAGAAAAGCTAAAAATGTGCTAATGAAAATGAGGAAAGAAAAAAAATGCAAAAAATAAATATGAGAGTGAGAAGAGAACCGACTGGGAGTGAGAGGGCGGTCAGGGGACAGACACAAAAACCCTAGAGAAAAGGGTAACGAAATGACGGAAAGGCCCCTGATGACAGCACAAGCGCCGCTCCTCTGTTGATGAAAAAATATGTTAGGTTTTTGAGAAGGGCGCAGTCTACGTGGCAACATGCACGAGGGGGTAAATTTTCTGTCAAAATTTTTAGTACTTGTTTTGACAGGATAGGAATATTTTCAGGCCCCCACGTGATTTATAATTGTCTGCAAAAGCGTCACTAGGCTCAGAAACAAGCCAAGGTCTTTTTTTGAGGTTTTGGGAAATGGCAAGCTCTAATTTCAAGTTTAATTATGAAAGAAATACATGGTTGTTGTTTGGAAAAATATCTCCATCATATTCATATAATCAACTGCTTCATAAAATTGGCAATTGAACCAAGAATTTCTTTTTCATATACAGTAATTCAACCTACTTGAGCTGAATTTGCATGTACAAATGAAAAGAATCTTCCTTTTACAGTGTAGTGGTTTACTAAAGAAACTTGTATTACCCAACCAAAGTAAAACATGATTTCACTTTTTGGTTTAAAGTACCATTTTTGTCAATATTCCATGGAACTATGAGCTTCAATTATATTTGTTGTAACGGTTTTGTGTCTGTCCGACGGAGAGAGAGAGCTGGGGGAGAGGTCCGTCGGCCAGTCGTCCGACCATCGCACCGGTCATCGTTTGGCTCGTTGCCGGTAGTTGCTGTCGGTGGTTTTCGATCACCAAAAAAGGTGAAAATACTTATGGAAATTCTTTTCGACGCGATCTTTTCAGATCCGATGTCTTTTTTATCAGAAACACGTCGATCGGGGCTCAAAATTTCGGTCTCCTTTCTCTTTCTTTTTTTTTTGGTGGATAGAATTGACTGATCTCTTTTTTTTGTGTAGGTGGCTTTTCTGGCGCTGGGTTCCCCTGTTTGGAGACTGTGATTTTGCTTTTTTTTTTGTGTTTTTACAAAAATTTTTCGACAGAATCTGCCATTCTCTTTTTTTTTTTTTACCGTTTTTGCTTCCGTTTCTTCTTTGGTCTGGTTTGCAAGCTGTATTTATAGAGCTTGTTGGGATTCGAATCTTAGATTTTTTGGGATTCGAATCCCATTTTTTAACTGAAAAATCACACCTACCGTCCATGATTGGTGGCTTGTCGATTGTTGGCAGCTATCAGTGATGCTTTTGACTTTAGGGATTGTGCATTTAATGCACTAGATTTGAACCAGATAAGGATGAAGAAAAAGGAAAAAGAAAAGAAGAAGAAGACAAACGCATAAATGGGAAGAAAAGAAAGAGAAAAAGAAAAAAAATTAAATAATAATAATAAAAATTAAAATTAAAAAATGGTGTTTACAGTTGCCCCTCTTTGCCTATTTCTGTGAAACAGGAATAAGACAAAGACAAATAAACAATTGTTTTGCTTGGAGAGATGAAACATTGAGAAAAAAAAATTTTTTTTTTGGTTCGACAGAAAATGGCTCATTTCAACAGAGGTTTAATAGATATTTTTGAAAGTTTAAAAGGCTCCTCTCAGCAGAAGCTCAACAACTTTAAAATCTAATGAAAAGGCTCCTCTCAGCAGAGGCTCAACAACTTTAAAATCTCATGAAAAGGCTCATCTCAGCAGAGGCTCAACAACTTTAAAATTCTCTTGAAAAAGCTCATCTCAACAGAGGCTCAACAACTTTAAAATCTCATCTTAGAAAAGCTCCTATCAGCAGAGGCTCAACGACTTTAAAATCTCATCTTGAAAAAGCTCCTCTCAGCAGAGGCTCAACAACTTTAAAATTCTATCTTAGAAAAGCTCCTCTCAGCAGAGGCTCAACGACTTTAAAATTCTCTTTTTAGAAAAGCTCCTCTCAGCAGAGGCTCAATGACTTTAAAATTCTCTTGAAAAGCTCCTCTCAGCAGAGGCTCAACAACTTTAAAATTCTCTTAAAAAGCTCCTCTCAGCAGAGGCTCAACGACTTTAAAATCTCATCTTGGAAAAGCTCCTCTCAGCAGAGGCTCAACGACTTTAAAATTCTCTTGAAAAGGTTCCTCTCAGCAGAGGCTCAACAACTTTAAAATTTTATCTTGTTTTCAAATTTGAGTTCTCATCTTTGAACAATTAAATTTCTTCTTTTGAATTCTTTTGTTTGATCATTGTTTTTACCAAAATCTTGTTTTTCATTAAGAAATGGAAAATTTCTATCTTTGTTACAAATTATCATGGATGTATGTAATGAGTGCTCATAATACAATGTATGTAATGCAATCAAAATCATTCATTGTAGTAAAAAGGTTCTCGAAATCTCTCACTTTTGGCTTCTTTTATCAAAATTCTCATATGACCAATCTGTTTTCAACATCTGACCATAATATTTTTTTTTTCAAAAGTCTGCAACATTAATGTCTTGTCATGCTTTTCTCATCCTTTTTCATTTACCTTTGTCAACTTTAAAAGTAATGCTGAGATCTTTCATGTTTATTTTTCTTTTCATCATTTTAAGTTCAAGACAAATAAAATGCAATCACACATTTCTCTTATTCACTTGCACGATGGACAAAAAAAAAAATAGATAAGGATAAAAGAAAGGATATGCTTTATTTTCAAAGGAAAGATAATGTATTTCATATGGCTGATAACAAGTGCATGTCAAAGTGTTTGAGTTGAAACAAAAGTGTCAAAAGAATGATCACAAGATAATCATGAATAGAATATTCTCAGATTCTTTCTCTAAAACTAAATCAGATGACTTCTTTGATCATTCAGAGTTCATCAAACTACACTTATCCCTGCATTGTGAGATCTTTTCTTGATGATGCTTCTGCTTCACATCCAAGTCACCTTTTCAGGTTTTCAACTTAGATAAGTCATCATCATTTTTTTCTCTTTTTTTTTTACTTTTTTTAAGCAAAATATTTCTTCACAACATCTAAATTTATTGGGGTAGGCAAATCACCTCCGTCCATTTCTGTCAAAATCAATGCCCCATCAGAAAAGACCTTTTTCACCACATACGGCCTTCCCAATTTGGTGTCCATTTCCCTCGATTATCAGGTTGATTTGGAAGGATTCTTTTTAGCACTAAGTCTTCTTTCCCTAAAGCAACGGGGATGAGTTTTTTTGTCATGTGCTCTCATCATCCTCTTTTGATATAATTGACCATGACAAAGTGCTGACAATCTTTTCTCTTTGATGAGGTTTAACTGTTCGTAGCGATTTCGAACCCATTCTGTTTCCTCTAACTCTACCTCCATCAGAACTTTCAGTGAGGGAATTTTCACTTCGACCGATAGCACAGCTTTCATTCCATATACCAAAGAGAACGGTGTGGCCCCAGTAGATATTCAGACTGATGTTCTATAAGCATGCAAAGCAAAAAGTAACTTCTCATGCCAATCTTTGTAAGTTTCAATCATTTTTTCCAGGATTCTTTTGATATTCTTATTCACAGCCTCCACTGTCCCATTCATTTTCGGACGATATGGTGTCGAATTATGATGACGAATCTTGAACTGAGTGCATACTTCATTCATCATTTTGTTGTTCAAGTTTTTAGCATTATCAGAAATAATTATCTTTGGAAGCCCATATCTACATATTATCTCTCTTTTTATGAACTTACATACCACAGATCGAGTCACGCTAGCATATGATGCAGCTTCTACCCATTTGGTGAAATAATCAATCATCACAAAAATGAATCTATGCCCATTCGAAGCTTTTGGAGTGATGGGACCAATGACATCCATGCCCCACATAGAGAATGGCCACGGAGGAGCCAGAACGTGTAATGTTGATGACAGAGCATGAATCTTGTCAGCATAAATCTGACATTTATGACATCTCCTAGCATAATCAATATAGTCTCCCTCTATTGTCAACCAATAATAGCCAGCCCTCATAATTTGTCTAGCCATCATATGACTATTTGCATGTGCCCCACAAATTTTATCATGCACTTCTTCAATAATTTTCTTTACTTCAGCTGTATTTACACATCTTAAGAGCACTTGATCTCGACCTCTTTTGTAAAGGATATCTCCATCAATGAAAAAACTCATAGCCAATCTTTTGATAGTTCTCTTATCATTTTTATTATATGTTCTGGGTATTGCTGGCTTTTAATGTATTGTATGATATCATGATACCATGGCCTTTCATCAATTTCTTTTTCAACACTTGAGCAATATGTTGGTACATCTTTTACATCCAACTTGATGGGTTGGATTTCAGTATTTGCATCTATTTTTATCATTACAGCTAGAGTAGCCAGTGCATCAGCAATTTGGTTTTTCTCTCTAGGTAGATGCTCAAACTAAACTTCTTTAAATTGCTTAACCAACTCAGAGATGTAGTTATGGTACCGAATCAACTTAGAGTCTCTTATTTCCCATTCACCTCGTAACTGATAGATGACTAGAGCTGAATCTCCAAACACATCTAACACTTTGATATTCTTTTCAATTACTGCTTGTAGACCCATAACACAGGCCTCATATTCAGCCACATTGTTTGTGCAATTAAAATTTAATCTGGCTGTGATGGGGTAATAATGTCCATTAGGAGATATCAAAATTACCCCAATACCATGACCCAAATCATTAGCAGCTCCATCAAAATACATCATCCATGATTTTTTAACAGGTTCATTTTCTTCAATGGCCATCACATCCTCATCAAAAAAAAATCTAATTTCATTGGCTTATAATCTTCGACTGCACGATCAGCAAGGAATTTAGCTATTGCACTCATTTTAATTACCTTTAGAGTCACGTAAATGATATCATATTTTGAAAGCATAACTTACCATCGTGCTATTCTTCCTGTCAATGAGGGCTTTTCGAAGATATACTTAATAGGATCCAGCTTTCCTATGAGCCAAGTAGTGTGATAAAGCATGTATTGTCTAAGCCTTCGTGCTATCCAGGTTAATGCACAACACATCTTCTCTAATGGTGAATACTTTGACTCATAATCAGTGAACTTCTTGCTCAAGTAGTAAATTGCTCGTTCTTTCTTATCAGTTTTATCTCTTTGCCCCAGCATACTTCCCATTAAATTTTTATGCATTGTCAA